ATGAAGAAATGCTGTTAGTTGAATGCTTTATTTAAGACGAGAGCAGGAGGTTCAAACTTCATTCAAAGCCACTGAAATCCATGTTATTCTAATGCTTGACAGCTCTAGAACAGGATGTGGTGGTAATTCTGGGTGAGGATGTGACCAACTCTCTGTTAGAGATGGTGAGAAGGCACTCTGAAGATGAAGAATTTCTTTCATTGATCTGCCCATTACTGATGATGATTTCAACTGATGGTTGGTCTCTCTGTTGTTTTTCTTTTTCTGGGGGGGGTGGGGGGGGAGGGAATATTCTTATTTTCCCACTTTTGTTATGTAGTCTGAGATAAATGCAAAACTGATGAGATGTTTGTAGGCACATTGCAGTGTCTGTTCAACATTCATCAGAACATTCATTCAGAAGAGTGTTTTGTTAATAGTCCTGGGATTTAGCAGAAGTGGGATAGGCTAGCTTGTACGAAGTGTCACGAAGGATCTACATTTATACGAGTGAAGTTACTGAGTAATACCAAACTTCGTATGTTGTTTCCAAACTCTGATGAGGTGATTTCTACTCATAAGTGTTTGCAACTTCAGTGGAGGAATTATTCCCCTCTCAGTTCCTTTTCTGTTCTGTCAATTGCAGATCTGTAAGGAAAATCGATTGGCTAAAATCTGCTTGAAAGTGTCACTTAAACTAAAGACTTTGCTGAAGTACATCACATTAAAGAATCCAATCTGCTTTTTTTTTTCTTGTGACATGTTTACTGTTCTTGTTATCACTGTTTAAATATGTTAGAGTTATCTGTTGCGAGGACAGCGAGCAGGACAAAGATGCTAGATTTCATAGGATTTCTTTTTGTGTGCCCTCTAGAGGTTGCTGCAGAAAATCTAAGGAAAGCTGGATTAATTTCAGATCTTCTGTCAATTTTACAAAACTTTATTCATAATGAGCAAATCTGCCACTCAAGCTGTGCAGTCCTCTGGAGCTTGGCTGTGAGTGGTAAGTGGAGATATGCACACTAAGATATGAAATGCCCACCCTGTGGACTATTTTCAGTCCAAAATTGTTATTTTTGGAGGATTCCTGCTGTGGTGTCCAAATGTAATTTAAATGGCAGAGGAAACTGATTCCTGGAGAAGTTCAGCTTTCTGCAATAGCCTGTATTATTTAGTACTGCTGTAAAATTTGATTTGCACGATTTGAATTTGTTCCTTTTCTGTGCTAAAGTAATGTTGTGTTATTCCAGTGCCATCATCCATTAATGTTTTACTGATATAATTTGACATATACTGTGCTTATGACAGTATTACTTGATTAAATAACTCAATGCATTTCTTTTTTTGTTATGGTAATTTAGAGAACGATGTAGACCAAGTAATGCTGCAAAGTGCTGTCCCCATTATCATTGCGGTCATTCAAGAGCACCTCCAGAATGGAGCAGTTCTGAAGTCAGCTTGCTCGGCTTTGTGGGCACTGTCACTGCAAGGTGTGTTTTCCCAAAGTATTTTCATTGTCCCCTCTGCATGGGAAAGGCCAAATACTTCTGTCAGCTGGTTCTTGAAATATAGACTGCTTGGCTTCAGCAGACTCTGCAGGTGGCAGCAGAGTCAGAAACTTAGCCTCTTAGTAAACCCCCTTGTGCTCACTCCTGTTGCTGTAATGAAACTGTTTTGGAAGAACCATGGAATTATGTAACTAGATACTGTTGATGCGTGGATACTGCAAGGATCCACAGCTACAACAGTTTATGTTGTGCAGAGCATCCTGCCTGGCCTCTCTCTTGAGACCAAGAATCCCACTTGTGTTACTCTGTTATGTGCTACTATCATGGTACGTGTATTATCAGGTTTTGTTTAGGGCCATTTGCTTTGTAATTTGGCAATGTTTCAGATGTAAAACGTGTATCTCTTTCATCATGCGCACAAATGAATGTATCTTTGCAATACTATTGTTTCTCCCATGTGTAAGAATATTGCCATATGTTTACATACTGCCCTATGCTCCTAACACTCTTTCCCCCAGGAGGAGCTGAAAAGGACCCATTGAGCAGTGCAATCTTTTCTCCTTTCTAGTGTCTACCAGTAGAATATGTTGTGTTTGGGACTCTCTGTTCCTTTTAGCTTGGAGAGTGCAAGGAAATTTCGACATAAAAGATGCATCAATTTTTTTCCTACACTTCTAGAGGAACCCACAATAAGACTTTATTAGGCCTATATAATTGTTATATGGGCTTTCACACCCTTTCTTTCTTTTGATGCCTAGTTAAATATCCTTTCAAATACAGAAGGCAGAAATTGAGATGAAGATTTAAACATTAGTGGTTTGATTTTTTTTTTTTTTTTTTTTAAAGGTTTTTTAACTGAAAATGACTACGAGCCCACAGCAGCACTTCTGATGGATGCACTTAGGAGGAACCTGGAAAAACCAATGCTGGTGAATAATACCTGCCTGGCATTAGCAAGCCTTCTAAGGCTATCTGGTAACACTGAACAATTAGTTTTTGTTAACTGCAAATCACCTCAGATGTAGGCATTTCTGTGCAGTTCAAGAGCGGAATTGAGATTGTCATCTGCTCCGCTTTGTTAATCATTTCTTTCTTGCAGAACAGGGAGGAGGGACAGTAAAACTGGAAGTACAATTTTTTTCTTCTTGTGGATGTGGCATGCATGTCTGAGAAGCAGATCAGCACAGACTCATTGAGTGTTCTCACTTTATTTACATTATAAATGGGTAGAGCTCAGAGAAACAATAAATACAAAAATATTACTTCTGCTATGCAGCATCACGCTGCATATGTGATTCTTTACTTGTCCAAATAATCTTCAGAATAGCTTTTAGGAATGCTGAAAAGAATGGACTTGACTTCCTGGTGAAATGTTATGTGTGTGCTGACAGGGGCAAGGGACCAGAAAGCAAACAGCACAGTCTGCAGCTCCCAGTTAGTCCAGCAGCATTTGTTTCCCTTTCAGAAATAGCAGCTTTCAGATTTATAACAGATTCAAAAGGCAATGGAATAAACCTGATCAAAGATGCCTACCACTTCTACTGTGATGATCCACAAGTGGTGGAAAGTATCTGCGTGCTGATCAACGAGATGATTCAGTATGGTAAGACTGTGGGGTCATTTGTCCAGTCTCTTCCCACTCCCCCCAAAAAGAACAAACAGTGAAGAAGCAGTAGCTACTCAGGTAAATTAAAATTGCTCTCTGGAAAGACTTACTATATATCTAATGAGGGAGAATGAATTGGAATTGTGACTTCATCCCATTCTTTCTTGTCATTGAATAATTACAAATGCCCTTGTAAATGTACAAAAGTTCTAACTTCACTTTGCATTCTATTTATGTAGACCTATTTTCTTTCTGCTCCCCTTTAGTCCCCGCTAAAACCACTGGAAATTATACTAGTAACCATAAATTATCCTTTTCATTTATGTTCTAGATGACATTATGCTGGAAATGGTGTCACAGCAAATGGAAGAGCTGCTGTCTGAAATCAAAAGCCGGTTTCCATCTAGCATGGTATGTAAACGTCACTGACAATAAAGGGTGCTTGCTTAATGTTAGACTTTGTCATTCTCAAATGTTGGAATTACTGCAGAACTTTACAGAAGAATTGTATATGTGTGAACAGTGAGGCTGTACAAATACACTTCTGATAGTTTGCCTGAAGGGTTAAGTTAAATTCCAACACAGTCATATTGGAAAAAAACAAACTGTTGAAACGCTAGAAATGGCTAACAGATAACAGAAAAGTAATTCAAGCTATTTAATGTGTTATTCTAAAATTTCCTTTGGCTTCCTGTCAGGCAGACATCAATTAGGCAATTAGATGTCTTTTTCCCAGCAAGCCAATATAACTGGTTAGTCTTATAATACTGTTCTTTTAGTTATGCATTTAGTCTGCTTACATAAATTGTCTCAGACAGATGCAAATAAACTTGTTCTCCACTGTCTCCTGCAGGGACTGCCTGAAGCATATTAATGAAAGCTGAAGCTATAAGTTAGTGCATTTAAAAAAAAAAAAAAAGACAAAACCAGAAATGAGAAGAAAGCAGCTTCCTCTGTTGTAAATGCAATTTGTTGTTCCCTATGTTCCGTGATGACAGACAAGGCAGACAGACAAGACATGAATCTCTTAATCTAGCAGTACACTTTGTAGCATGCAACTGCTAATTCTCCAAAAACTGTACCTTGCTACCTTCCACTGTTTAGATTATTTAAAGCACAGCATTAGTATTCAGTCTGATAATTACAACTGCTTTGGATTTTGCAGAATCAAACCCTGCATGTTTAAAACATCATTTGTTTTAAAGGCCAACTTTAAGCACAGTTCTTTATTAATAAAGAAGTATAAAAATAATTGAAACAACAAGGTAGTCTTATATTTATCAGTTCTCATATTTCTCTCCAGGAGATTATGACCGTTGTGGATAGAGCACTTTTGAAGCTGCAGGAGTAAAGTAAAAGCTTTCTGTATAAGAATAAGACCTGTGGACTTCTGGCTCAGATATAAAAGCCTGGATCACCCTGAAGTATTTTACAAGATATTTCTCACCAGGAAGATTAATGTTGGGCCATTAACAATATTTAAATAATTCTATGTTCTGTTTAGTTATCACAATTGTGAGACTAATAGCAATACTTAAGAACTTGCCTTTGTAGACTTCAAAAAAATCCAAAATAAAGGTTTTAATCTTGAGAGTAATAGTAAAGCAATATCAGTTTCTTCTTGCATCCATCATAATTTAAAAACTTTCTCTTTTTATTGCTCATTTAGTATTTATTTCCTTTCCAATTACTAATGAAGTACTTCACAAATGCAGGCATTTGCAAGTATTGTTTAATTGGGTGTATGTCCTGTCCAGAAAGGGGATACTTCAGCAGTATTCTTGTATGGCAACATTCACTGTACTCTGCTGGGTTTTTGTTTGTATTATTTTAGCAAATTGCTGCTGTTAGTTCTGAGTAGCCTGGGATCTGACAATGAAGCAGCAAATGCAGTTAAAGAACACAGTGTGGAATCATTCAAGTTTCATGGTTTGTCTTTAGATTTGTTCTTAAGAGCAGTTTCCCATTTCTTTTTCTCTAAGGTGTACAGTCTCATAGCTGCTTGCGCATCCTGAATCTAAAAGAAAACAGAAAAGGAGGCTTAACAAAACATGGCTTGATATGATTTAAAAATGTTATTGTTAATAAACAGTGAAATCTTTCATTTGAATACATCCTTTCAAGTAACATTTCATAATCTCCTTCTAGATTCAGATCTTGAGTGACTAATGGAGGAAGGTGAACATGTAAGTTGCCCACTACAATGCTATGCAATGTTCTCTCTGATTGTGACTTGGAAAATCATTATGAAAAATAGTCTTGATTACAGGATCTTGGAGATACCTTCACAATTTGCTTGTTTTTTTTTTCCTACTCCTTTACCGTTAGCTTCAGTTTCAGTTAAGAGGATAAAACTGCTGAGAGTAGGCTCTCACTACTGATGGATTTACTTCTATCCTATTCATCATAGCACAACAGTGCAGTATGCTGCTTTTAATGTAAGCAACTGGAACTTTGATGTTACTTTTCTCCCTGGGGATCTTAAAATAACAATTAAAATAAGAATCAGTATTTAAAAATATAGTTGACTTGTGCAAGAGAAGTTTATGAAAATAAAGAATTGAAGTGGTATGAAGCATGTACCACTAAGAAAGCTTAGATGGCAATCTTTTTACCTGATTGTATCCAAGCAGAGCTTGCTGACTTTCATTGAGAGGTGAGAATGAAGACATGAGACTCTGGACTGAACTCTGATCCCAGAACCAACGTGTACCATGTTGTTAACCTACCCTAAAAGGCTACATTGATGAGATACATACCGAGCAGTGCTCTGATGTCTGCACTTGAACGTCTAGAAGTCTATCACAGAGCAGCTTCAACGATGGCCGTGAACTCTAGAAATATAAAGATTGAATCATGCTTTCTCACACTGCTTAAATTATGTATGTGTATGTATACAGCTTCCCTTGGTGAACTGGCAAGGAAAATTAATGAATTATGAGGCTTATGCACATCTGTATGCACTGCTTAGAGGATTCTCTATGTAGTATCATAACCCTAAGGCTTATGTTTGAGGTGCTTTACTGTGAAAAACAAACAGTATATAATTATTAAATATTAAATAAGGTCCTATATCTTCTGGAGTCTAAGTAGAAACTTGAAACCATCCATTTTTTAATATCCATATGCAAATAACGCTATTGAGTATTACATATCCTTACCATAACTATAACTTACTAGAGCTGCATAATCTTATTTTGCTATTCCAGAAAAGCATTATGAAGGTCATGTACGTGCTAAGGAGTAGGAGGATTGCTGAATTTTGTGCAGAGGTACTGCATGTAATATTTGCAACTAACAAAGTAACATTGCCATACTTTAAATGCTAACCAAGCATTCAATTAGATCTGTATTTTCAACCAGCAAAAAGTAGAGACCTCTGTTTCAGGCTGGAAAGAAGAAACAAGGACAAGTGAGGCAAGCATAGGAGTGAGCAGGCTAAAAGCTGGGAGTCAGCAGCTCAGGTGTCAGTTAATCAAGGTATTCCTTTCCATCACTTCCTTACCTTGACTCTCTGTCTGAAAGGTTTGTATTTTTGTGTGTCACGTATTTTCTTCTTAGGATGATCAAGAAATAGGACCTGAAAGAAATCATATTCCCAACGTAAGGAGTGCTGCTACACAAATTTATATAGCTGAATGTACAGCTTGCTGCTCTTCAGTATCCAAATCAGTGCTATTAAGATTGGTGTGGAAACTGAAGAACTTGGTGTGCCAGTGAACGGGGATACACTTGGTACAGTGTGAGAGGACAAGAAACTGAGCTAACAATTAAAAAGCAGCAGTTTCTAGGAGTTCAGGTGTGTTATCTGACTGATCCCGGAAGATAAATTATAAATTCATTCATTTTCAGTATTTAGAGCTTTGTTACCTTTAGGTCATTGTGTAATGCGTGCCCAACTAAAATCCTTCCATTCAAGATATCAGCGACCTCTTTCTGAACTGTTTTAAAATCTTCACCTAAAGACACCACGCAACGAAACACTTTGCATTAGTCACATGCAACATTTAAGCAACCTACAATTAAAACATGGCATATTTTTTGTGAAGACATCTATATCTTTTGGGACTGGGCTTACATAAATTTGTACTGCACAATCACTGTACAAACCTGTCTTTAGATGCTCAGGTCGGATGCCACTAACAGCTGTTCTGTAATCTGTCACCTCTTCCGTAGGTTTGACATACTTGTCATAAATGCACTTTCCAAACCGGTTCACAATGGACACACGAGCCACAATGCTGTCTTCGCCGTTGGGTCCTACTCCCACCATCTCACAGTCCATAGCTACAGCTCTTGTAAGACTAAAAGAAAGGACAACTCAGCGACACATCTCTTCACGGGGATCGCATAGCAAAGCTGCGAGGTTCACACATTGATACAAACAGGAAAAACTCAGCAGTTTGACTGACAGCAGACTCAGACATCAGCTTAAACTTTGTCTGCAGTTATTAGAAGGTAATCTTGATGCCTGTGCTTCCTGCTGGAACACCACTCACCCTCCAGAAGACTTCTCTTTAACCAGCATCTGCTCCACAGACCGTTTGGATTGGCCTGTTTCAAGTCCCATTTTCCTTCTGGCAACTTCTGCTGCTTCAGGTCCTATTGCTGCTTCGATATCTTTTGGATCAACATCATCAAACCAGATGTCAGCCCTGGTAAGTATAAATTTAATTCCGTTAAGTAGTCTTAAAGTGACTGCATTTCTGCATAGACTGTGCAAAAAGCAGATTGATTTTTTAAAATCAAGAAATCAGCTCTCTGAAAAGTGGTCTATACTGTCATCTATGTAGATTTATTGTTGTATATGAGGAGGGGCAGCATGCATCTTCTGTTGCCCAAAATAAAGCCTGGAAGAGCACAGCTATTAGGAGCATACTTCTCTGTACACCTCTTAAAACAAATTTTCATGTGCATGTACTGATGCTTGAAGTACTCACTCTTTGGGCTCCTGTGCTGTATCTTCAGCTTTCCTTTTCTTATGCTTCACATCACTTTTTTCCTTTTCAATATTGCCATTTTTCCTTTTTTCTTTGCAGCCTTTCCCATCACTTTTGGTGCCGTTTAAATTCTTGTCCTTTGCAGCCCCGCTGGGTTTGGGCTCAGCCATAGGAGTGTTGCCATCCGAACTCTTGGCCCTCTTATCTGTATGCTTAAGCTTTGAATTCTTGTCAGTTGCAGCCTTCTTGGATTTCTCCTTGGCCAAAGGAGCGCTGTGTGCAGCAGGACCTCTGCCCTTTTTATTTGTGGATTTGGGTTTCAACGCGTTTTCATCCCCGGTGCCAGCTGGATCCTGTTGGCTGTTTCCCTCTTTGAGTGGATGCTGCTTCTTGGTGTATGTCTGAGATGAAAGGAGGGGCTCCTTCGAGGTGCTCGTGCTCGCCTTCTGCTTCAGTAGCTAAAAGAACCAAAGAAAAAGGGGGGAAACAGAAGTGAGAGCGATTATCTCCCTTCAATTCACCCTTGCCATCACTGCTGGCAGGACTGAAGCTGAGCAGGGCTCTGTCTGGCTGCAAAGCCCCATCCCCGTGGGTCGTTATTAGACACAAAGAACCCTTTTAAACGATGACACCCGGAGCTGCGTTAATGAAGAGCACGGCAGCCGGCCCGGCTCGCCCTCACCTCCTGCAGCGCCTTCCAGTTGGAGGAGAACTCCTGCGGGCTGCGGGGCAGCGCCGCCACCGCCGCCGCCTTCGGGCCTTTCTGCGCGGCCGTCCCCGCGTGCTGCCCGGTGCCTCGCCGAGATCTCCTCCTCCGGCCCTTCCTGCAGGCCGCCGCCGCCTCGGGGTCCGCCTTCGCCATGCGGGACCGCGGCGAGGGGCGGCAGTGCGAGGGGAGCGGTGCAGCGCCCGGCGGGGAACGGCGCCCCGCGCTTTGCGTTCCGCTGCGGGGCCGGGGCTGCGCGGCGCCTCCTGGTGGCCAACGGCGGGGCGAACCATGAGGCGGGCGGGGCGGGCGCCCGGAGCTCTCGCATGCGGTTCTGTGCGGGCTGGAGCTCCGCTGCGGGGTGTGCGGCCTGCGGGACGTCGCCCTGACTCACAGCCCCCCCGAGGGGCTCTGGTTGGGCTGAGGTTTGGCGAGCAGGAACGCACGGTTCGACAAGTCAGAGCCCTTTCCCCACACAAATCGCTCCTTGTTTATTTGGCTGCTGTAGCTGGCCCGAAGCTGCTCTCATTGCTGTGCTCTTTGGCTGTAATGAAGTTGCAAATGTTGTGCAAAAGCTCTCCCCCTCCAGCTGTTCCTGTAAATCCTCCCGCAGCAGTTCAATTCCCCCTCGACTGTCCCCCTCTGCAGTCGATCATCTCTCCTGTTTATTTAAACTCTGCATTCTTTGCTTCCGTTCCACGTGATGCCTCAGACCGAACATTTTAATCACCCTTGGGCCAGAGATTGCTCTGCGGTGCTGCTTGCAATCCCTCCAGCATGATCATCAGTCTGACCATCCGAGTGCTCATAATGTTCCCTCTGGGGCTTTGCTGGCCCTCCATCCTCCGAGAGGTAAGCCTGACCTCCAGAAAGCTCTGTTTCCAGGAAGCCTTTTTTATTTCTAGGAAAAAGAAGAGAAAACACGACGTGTTCTAAGCCAAGATGTATCAGACCTCACTAATCAAGAAGATAAAGCTATTTCCTCTGGGTGGCCGTTGTGCAGCGTACACTTAGTGCAAAATAAAACCATTAGACCTTGGCATCGATGCTTGTTAAATTGTTTGCTGACGTTCCTTCCAGGTTCGTTTCGGTTAAATAATAACCTCGTGTCCATTTGTTTTACTTAAAAAAACGTAAAGCTATCCTTCTTTTGCAGAGATTTCTCAGAGCTTTGGATGCAGATGATGTTTTCTCTTATTTTGGAACCAGCTCAGCGTCTGATGGTATGCAGAGCTCTTTCCTTCTTGATTTTGGAACATATTTGTCAGTTTATTCCTAATCCTGTACATTTGATAACACTAAGAACGTGTATTAACTAACCCTGGTCTGACATGCATTTAGCATTTCTGAGTTGCATTGCTCAGTGAGGTAATCCATGTCTCAGTGTGTAAGCGATTGAAGAACTGGGCCAGCATTTAAAATCTACTTAAGAAGCTATGACAAATCTTTTTCAGCTGTAGTCCTTATTTTCTATATCAGTATTTTTTTCTACAAGATTAACAGACCTAAGTCATCCGAATGGGAAGGTGTAGACTAAGAATAGCTTCAAATACACTTGTTAATACTTTGAAATGCATAGGTGGAGCATTCTGGGTCTGGATTGTTCTGGATAGTTCAGCATAAAGGTACATTTTGAACTGTCACGTTCTTAAAGCAAGGATGCTGTCAATTTGTGAGTTTACCTACTGCTGTTTTCAGTGTCTCTGTTCAGTTTATGGTAATTCTCACTCTGTAATATTTAACATCTGAGGAAGCAAATCTGTCTCAGACTTTGCCAAATGAACTGTTCTCATTGACGAGGGAGGGAAGCACAGATCATCCAGGAGCCAGTTCCAGAGCTGTTGTCTGTTCTCAGTCTGAGTACCTCACTTTGGAACAGATGAAGAGACAGAAGTTCTTTGCCTATTGACAGAATGACCTCAAAAGGCCGTAGCTGTCATTCAGAGAATAATTTTTCCTAAGAAGACAGATCATTACGTTTCTTTTCCACGTATCATTGTTTTTCATGACTATTTCCCTTGTTCTTTTTGTTTGTTTGTTTGTTTCATGTCTTTCAGTACCTGAGTTTGTTGTTGCTCAGCTGAATTGCCCTTGTAAAGAAGAGCAGATTGGGCTGATATGTCGCATCCAACGCTGCTCCATTAAGGCTTGGGGAGAAGTGTACACCTTCGAATTTCTAGAGGACCATACCCTTCTTTCCTCTTCCTTTGTGATCAGTCAAGTGGTGAACTCTTCCTTTAGCTTAATAAAGCGATTCTCAGGCAACTGCTTTGCAGGTGGAAATCTATTGGCACCTCCTGGGGCTGAGTGTAGAGTCACTTACTGTGAAGGGCAGCTGGTGAGTATGCACTGAGCTTATCAGCTTTTCTGCAAGCATTTACAGCCTTTGCAGGCTTGCAGCTTGAAACCCCAAACATGTGTGAACCATCCATTTAATAAGTCTGAGTGTTACAAAGAAGAAACAGGAAGGATATGGCACACGGTTCTCTGTTGTAGCAAATGTCTGCAATAACTCAGAGGTGGAATTTCATCTCCTCTAGCAAGGAGTCATTGTTACAGATGAAGAAAAGATTCATATCAGGCCTGTCAAAAGCAAAGATACTGCCCTGCTGAAGGATCTTGGCTTCTCCAGTCCCCACATTCTCTTCAGAAGTGCTGGAACAGGGGCAAAAACAGCAAGAGGTAAGATGTATGGAGAGGAACCTCTGGCAGTTCTTCTTTGACAAACTGTCTTCTGGTAGTGAGGTTGTTTGAATGAGGAGAAAGAGAGGAAGGTTTGCATCTGCAAGTCTATGATTATACTTGATGTATGTTACTCACCTTACTGAGTTGTAAATACTGCAAGTTTTCAATTAAGTGTTTGTTATTTTGATAATAAAAACTTGTTATCAAGGATGAAGACAGGTGAAAGAAACCATCCGAGGTGGGAAACTTAGGCAAGTAAGCACAGAAATGGTCTTCTAGCAGAACTATTTTAGTCTTTCAGGAAAAGAGAATGGACTTATAGAATCTTCTGTGCTGCCTGGCATTTTAAACTCTGTGTCCCTTTTTGTTGCTCAGCAAGGCACTTTGCTCCTCGCCTACAAAAGAGGGCTGATGGAACTGTCAAACATCTGGAGCTGATGGTTGTAGCAGGTCCTGATGTTTACATGTACCACCAAGAGGACACGGAGCGATATATTCTTGCTAACCTGAACATTGTGAGTGTAGCTTTCTGTTTGGATTGCTGTTCCAGTGTGAGATCTCCTACTGTTGCTAACAGATTCAGTTCTGTGAGTGTTCTTTCAGGGGTGTTTGTGGTTCTCTGCTCCTATTAGAGGGCACTGCTTACTTGTAGGGTGTCTCTCTGTGTCTCTTTGGGACTGTCCAGCAAGCTTACCCTTGTAGAAGGAGCTGCATGATAAAAGTGAACGTTAGAAGATCTTCATTCCATTACTGATCTAATTCCATATGTAATATCAGGCAAAAGTTTATATGTGTCACTTCCTGGTTTTGTGTTTGTCCTTATAATTACCAGATGTGTTACTTTTGTAGTGAGTACACCTCTGTAAATGGGAACAGGTATTGAGAGAGGTGACTACTTTATGGAATCTTTCTATCACTTGACAGGGGGCAGAACTGCTGCGAGATGCCTCACTGGGTGCTCATTTCAGGGTTCATTTGATGCAAATGCTTGTTTTGAGAGAGCCAGAGGTGAGCAGGGAGGATTCTGCTCGAGTGTTGTCTGGGGTGGGTTGTTAAACCTTTATGCAATGTGCAAATGTATGCTTTAATTGTAGGTGAATGTGAACATCACAACAAATATCACCTCCTCGCTGATCAGTGTTTGTGAGTGGAGCAAGAAGGTCAACCCCCAGAATGACTCTGATCCCCAGCATGCTGACATTGTCCTGTATGTGACCAGGTACTGTAATTAATCCCCCCTGTCCTGTCAGAGGCTGGAAGTCAAACCACTGCTGTCCAGTCACCAGCACAGTGACACTGATTTGCACAGAGCCTTTGAAAATGGGTTGATTCTTCTGTTTGGAGCTGATTCTCCTGTCCTTAGTGTAGTTTGGCATTCATGGGACTCTACTCCTACCATCCTGCCCCAGGGAGTTCTATATTTGCAGGAAAAATGCTAGCTAGCAGTCAAAATTAGGTCAGGAAGGTGCAAATAAGTTGTTTTTATATATCTAGTCCTGACTTTATTAGTTGCAGTGGTTATTTGCTTTTTTTTCTGGATGTGTCTCCCTTACTTTAGGTTTGACCTGGAGTTACCTGATGGGAACAAGGAGCTACGTGGAGTGACTCAGTTAGGTGGAGTCTGCTCCTCCTCCTGGAGCTGTGTTATTACCCAGGACACTGGCTTTGACTTGGGAGTCACAATAGCCCATGAGATTGGGCACAGGTCAGTAGGAATGCCCCAGAGCAGCACAATGTGTTTTATTCAGGGAAAAACAATCCCTATTTTAAAGGATTCAAGAGAAAGAAAAGGATCTCTTGTCATAACATTGGCTTTCCTATAGATTATTTAAAACTCTTGTAAAGATTTCCTTGCATTTCTGCAAGTTCTGGAACAATTACAAGCTTTTATGACAATTGTAGTAGGAAAGGCTCTGAAGAGGGAGCTTGGCCCTTGCTTAGATAGTTAGAGATAACAGACGTGCTGCAGGAACACAAAACCTCTGGGTTCCTTCTCAGAGCACAGTGCTTTTTCTGTTACAGTCTTGGCATCCCCCATGATGGTGAGGGGAATCAATGCAGCAGCAGTGGTTACATCATGGGTTCAGCAGGGAACCATAATAGCATTGACCTCGTCTGGTCACAGTGTAGCCGAGAAGAATTCCTGGCCTTTGTCAGGTAAGAGAATGGTCGAGTTTTGTGTGCATGTGTGGGAGCACCTCCCTGTGCTGCCAGCTTAGGAAAGAACAGGGAAGTACAAGGAATAAAACAGAACTTTCTTAGAAAATGAAGAACTGTGATGTACTTGTTTGTTTGTTTCTTATCACTTGAGGCTGTTGCTGAGGTTAAACCCAGTCTTTTATTCAAGTAGCTGGAAATTAGTTTGGTTAGTGACTAACAGACCTGGGCTGTCTTGAACTCCTCAGACACTTTTTCAGCTCGGAAATGTTATTTAAAACATCAGAAAATCTAGGTTTAAACATACGATGTAGGCTGTGAGCTGTCTAGTTGAACAAGCATGGATTTTTGTTTTAACTTCAGCAGCGGGGAACTGTGAGC